GTGCAAGCTGGGACTGGTGGCAGCACGTGCTCCAGGAATAGGATGATAAGCACTGGGTTGACAAGTTCTGGATGACCCAGGCCACCTTTTGAAGACCTGCTGCACCAGCTCTGCCCCCACCTTGAGTGCCAAGACATGGAGAAGTACCCAGCTGTCCCCACTGACACCTGCATGCCCTGCCTCCCACACCCCCTTTCCCCCTGCCTGCCCCCCAGCACCATTCCAGGATATGTATGTTTCTCATGAAAACCTTTATTCCCCTCACAACCCCCACCTCCCTCTCAACCAAAAGAGCCCCCTCTCACTTCCCTCCCCAAAACACAGAGCTTGTCCATCACCCTCCTCACCTACCAACAATATAATCCCCAGCGTCCTGGCATACCAGCACTTTAAGAAAAAAAAAAGCCCCAAACTCACCGGCTGCTGCAGTGACTGCTGGGGCTCCTGGGGGCTCCTGGAAGAACCCCCCATGCAGCATGGGGCAGTGGGGGGCAGCAGGGATGGGCCCTCCCTGCCTGGCAGGGGCTTTAAAAAAAAAAGTGCTGGAATGCTGAAGCCAGGTGGGGTAGCCATTGATGGGGCTGGGATAGTGGACGGGGAATAGGAACTTGTGGCAGAGCCCCTGATGCAGTACAGGGCAGTGGGGGGGCAGCAGGGATCACCCCTCCCCCCCACCCCGGTCTCGTGAGTGCAAGACTTTTCTTTCTTTTTTTTAAAGAGCCGAGATACTGAGGCCAGGTGGGGCAGCCATGGGGTTGGGGGCTGGCAGAGCGGGCAGGGGATGGGGCCTGTTCAATTCGGAGATTTGGTGGCGGCCGAATTGATTTGGGATAGTCATTTGAATCACTGAATTGAATCACTGTCCCCCACATTGGCTGAATCCAAATCCTAAGCAAATACTAGCTGCTTCACACTAGCCTACCAGCCAGAGTCCTCCCTGGGGAGGAGCTGGTGGCCGGCAGTGACATTGCTGGCTTCTCCTCATAGCACAGTGTGGGGCTGGGCTGAGGACAAGGCAGCCGCTGGGCAGTGCTCTGCAAGCTGCCAGTGGATGCAGCAGTCATGGAGGTGAGTGGGGTGGGGTGCTGAAGGCCTGAGGTCTCCTCTGATGATGCATCACCAGAGGCATCAGGGCAGGGTGTGGGCAAGGGCAGGCTGCCCCTGCTTGTGGCACTCGCAGGGGTGTGGCTTGGCTCCTGGGTTCCAAAATGTGGGTCAGCTCCTGAATGAAGGGCATAGTCTTTTGGGCATGACCAGACTGAAGATTGAACTTGGTCATGGCCACTGTGCCTGTAAGACCTTGACCTTCATGTGGCACTGCCACACTGTCTGGGAGTGGCCGTGTGCACACATCCCATGAAATATGGTCTCATATATATGGACATTTGAGCACCTGCCCTGCGTGAACTGCCTCTGGATGTCAGCCCCACTCCAGAGTGACGTGAGTTTGTGTACCACCTCCTGGGTCCAGTTGGGGGCCTGGTGCTCGGGATGGGTGTGGGCACATGGGCAGAGCTGGGGCTCAACAGGGATGATGACTTGGACATGCTCCCAGTGCCAGCTCCCTGGGCCTCCATGCAGCTGTCCCTGCGATGCTGGCCCTGGACAGCTGCCAGCAGTACCTAGGACAGGGGCACGGGCAGGGACTGAGAGCTGCATGGCAGAGGTGCTTCACCATAGTGCCTGCAAAGAGAGAGAGCTGGGGGTAAGCAGCAGCAGGGAGCAGGAGCTGGCCCTGCTGCCATAGCAAGCAGGGCCAGCAGCCCTGGGGGAATCTCAGGGCTGGGCAGGGCGTGCAGCAATCCACAGTCCTTTGCAAGACTCACCTGTGGCCAAGCAGCAGCTCTGGCTAGGGTAGAGGACAGGCAGAGGCTGCCTGCATCCTGTCCAGGGGGGCACATGGAGCTTGGTGGGCTCCTGCAGACAGGCAGCTTCTTCAGTCTCCTTATGCTGCGTGCCCCAAGGCACAAAATGGCTGGAGGCTTTTATACCCTGCAGCTAGAGGCTGCCAGAGAGCAGCCCAGCCCTGGAGGAGAGGCAGCCAGCCAGGATTCCTGGGTCTGGGCTCTGGCCAGCCCCCTAGTAGCTGGGCAGACCCAGCACTAAAGTCCCTGCATTAATGTGCATTAACACATCCACACGTGCATTAATGCACATTAACTAGTCGTGTCTCCATTTGATACCTGCTTATACAGGTATCAAATCAAAGCATGATTAGCCTAAATTCACCATTTTTAAGGCACATTAAAGGTGTGCACCTGTGGATGATTACCCTTAATGTATCTTAAATCAGGCTAATGTGCATTAAATAGGCATGTGTAGATGTGTCCAGTGCTGCTGAGGCTATTCCATCTCCTAGTAGAGCAGTATGGGAGTGTGATGCATGAATAACTGGATGTGAGACCTATTTAGAGCTAGGAGCCTTTTACTGCTCCACTAGGAAAATTAATATCCCAGGATCCTACTCCCTAGGATCTCTCAAATCCCTGGAAATTTTTCCGAGCAGGTTAGACAAGCACTTGGCTAACATGGTTTAGTTAGGGGTGATCCTCTCATGAGCAGGGAGCTGGATTAGATGACCTCATGAGATCCTTTCCAGTCCTACTTTCCCATGTTCCTATATATAAGGCAGGGAGGCGTTTCTAAAACAGGTAGCTCCAATCTCTGTGCATATTTGTAGATAACACCTGGTGTTCAGCAGTATTAAGGGCAGATCACAAAGAATCAGCAAGGCTATGTTATTCTTACCATAAAATCATCAACCTTTTCTTGAAAATTTCCAGTGAAGTGGATTCCACAACTTCCTTGGGCTTCCACTACCTCACTATTTTAACAGTAGGAAAATGTTTCCTGGTATCTAATATAAATCTACTTTTCTCCAATTTGAATCTGTTGCTTCATATCCTGCATGGTTATCCATGGTTATTCTCTCTCTTCTTTATGGTAGCCCTTCAAATATTTGAAAATTATTATCAAATCTCCCCACTTAATCAACTTTTCTGCAAGATAAACATGCAAAGTTTCAACATTTCCTCCAGAGGCTTACCTTCCAACCCCTTAATAATGTTTACCATCCATCACTGTATCCTCTCTCAGTTCTCCACATCCTTTTTAAAATATGGAGCCCAGAACTGTTCACAGTACTCTAGTTTCATAGTTTCATAGTTTCTAGGGTCGGAAGGG